TGTACCTCATCACCACTCCTTAAGCATAGCAAAAGAGGGAAAGGGAAGAACCCATCACAATTGTAGAGCGGCTGCAGGAGAGCGACTGAAGAATTCAGACTCCTTACAAGTAACTGCCAGCCAGAATTCTCAGAAGTTTTTGTAGACATTTTTTTGCCTCACATAGGGAAGTAAAATATCCAGCTGTATTCAGAGTAACAGTGAAATTTGACTTAATTTGTGTCACAGATCCCCTCACCAATATCACATTAAGTATACAATTTATGATGATAAACATTCAGCATTTATATTCAGAGATAAATAAGTATGCACTGAAGCCATGGGGAGGAAATGAAGAATGATTGGGTTTAAGAGTTGAGCTTAATGGGGTGTACGTGGTATGGTAGAGAGATTTATCGAGAAATACTTCAATTTCCTAGCTGTTGGAATGAGAGTCATACCGTAATAGATGTAGAGAAGCGGTGCCCAACTTCTGAAAAATATGAATGTGAGGACATTCAGGCACAGGGGCTGGAAATAAACAAGTTACTGTTAAGTAGACTGAAGCAGTGAGAGTAGATTAAATCACCCACAGGAAAAAGCCGATAGAGCAAAAAACTCAGTACTGTGATAGGTAATCTTCGTTAGAAAATGCCACCTTAATCTAAGGATTACTGAAACTTTGTCTTTGCGTGTCATTTTGAGGTTTTATGGTAAATGTCATAAAAATATAAGCATTTACAATTACAGTAATTTATGATTAAACTGGGTTGTTATGTTTTTCAGCTTTGTTTCAAACCCTGAGCACAAGTGATGAGCCTAAGAGACATTTTAGCCTGGGATATTAAAAAGGTATTAAAGAGAGCATGCAAGCTGGCACTGGACATGCTATTGGGCTTGTTACTGCCAGTACTTATGGCATGCAGGGCTTCTAAAATAGGAGCATGGCATGCAGTCAGCTAAAGTCTTGCTTGCACAACAATTTTGATTTACAGGTTGGGACAAGATTTTTGAGGTTAAGGTTTAAAAAAATAATAAATTGTTCCTTTCCCTGATCGACATCTACAGTCTCCCTATTTCAGGAGGTGTCTGAACTCCAGATATCCCAAATCCAATCTTGCGGGGACACTTATTTACATTTCAGATGTAGCCTTTTATTTAAATAGATGGTTGGCAGTATGTTTTGGCATAGGTTTAAAGACAATACAAAAGTAAAAGTACCAGCATAACTCAAGTGTAATTGATGTAGAATTACTCTCTATTTTTAATTACTTGGTGCATCTTTAATAGGTGTGGATAAGTATGAAGTATTTTCACAAAATAGTTCTGAATATTTCTCATAAAATCGGTGAAAAGGTGTCTCAAATCTATTACTTCAGCTTTAACAGTGGATTCGAAATGCCAAGTCCAGCGGGTACTTCTCAGCCCTGACTTTCCTTAATAACTTGGTGCATTTGACTTTGTTCTGTGACCTCCAAAATATTCTGCCTGGGTTCTTTTTTTTTCCCCAAAAAACTTTATTTATTTATTTTTGGCTATGTTGGGTCTTCGTTTCTGTGCGAGGGCTTTCTCTAGTTGCAGCGAGTGGGGCCACTCTTCATCGCGGTGTGCGGGCCTCTCACTGTCGCGGCCTCTCTTGTTGTGGAGCACAGGCTCCAGACGCGCAGGCTCAGTAGTTGTGGCTCACGGGCCCAGTTGCTCCGCGGCATGTGGGATCTTCCCAGACCAGGGTTTGAACCCGTGTCCCCTGCATTGGCAGGCGGACTCTCAACCACTGCGCCACCAGGGAAGCCCTGCCTGGGTTCTTTTCCTATCTGCCTTATCATTCCTCCTCCGTACTCTTTGCCCGCGGCCCTTTCCTCAGCGTTATACCTAAATGTTGGCATCATTGAGGTCTGTCCTCAAGTCTCGTCTTTCTTCGTTTGGCATACTTTCCATTAGGAAATATAGTTGTGATCCTAAGCTACGCATCCCAGTCATTTGCAACCTCTCCTCACTCACCGTTTTTCTCTCCCTTACTTGCTATACCTAGGAAGTCAGCACGTCAGTTTAGTTGAGTGAACACTTGAGTCTGGCTATGTACGGAGCTTTGTGGTAGGTACAAAGTGCTGTGTTTAAAAATCTCAAGCCAGGCCTTACTTGTTATCGTCCCACTATCACTCCCTGTGGTCAGGCTGCAATCATTTCCTTTCTGGACACTTCTGATCAGCAGCCATTAATTGAGAGTCCATTCTGTGTCAAGTACTATGCTGAGCACTGGAGATACAAAATGATTAAGTTGATACTGTAATAAGAGAACAAACAAGTATATGCAATATAGGCTGCATAACACTTGACTTAGGAAATTCAATCTCAAGCTAAATATTCCATAATGTGCATAATAATACATTAGAGCTGTGGGCAGTTTTGCATTGTGTATAGAAATAGTCTCATCTAGTGCAGGGTTGACTACTGCAAAAAGCCAGCGCAAGACAGGCAGAAATATCACATGGAGAAACACCTCTAAACCTCTTTATCCTACTGTTATTGTTATTTCTTTCTGTGTCCTAGCAGCTTGTCTTGCTTCAGTGTTTGTGTTACTGTCTTCTCCCCAGTGTTTTATAATCATTACTGGAGAGCTACCAAGAGTGCACGACTAGATTTTATTTTCAATTACGGGAAATGCTGTCTGCACAGAATATTCCTTAATGGAATGGTGCTTAAGGCATTTACATAAGATGCATAAAGTACAGTAGTCACCTGGGAGGAATCCAGTGGGAGTAGGTCAGGGAAGACTCTACAGTAGCGTGATCTAATTGAGCAGCGCTTTGAAGCTGGTTCACTGCTCAGTGTTCTGTGCTTGGCACGTGTGGTGGGTGGTCACTATTTACTGAAGGAAGGTGGCCCTAACCAGCTTCCCCTTCTCTCTCTTTACCCTGTGCTTCGCAGATAGGCCCTCTCACAGTTCACCTTTCCTCAGTTAGGTCGCTTCCTGAAATCCTGTTCACCTTTCAAGATGTAGCTCAGATACCACCTTTTCTATAAAAATCTTTTTTCAAGCAGTTGCTCACTGTACTCAGCTCCCATCACACTTTTTGAGTATATAGGAGAAGAATGTTTTCCTGGACCACCCAGGACATAGGTGCAAATAAATATTTGCTTTAACAGGTTATTAGTCAGTAGACACTTATTCAATGAGGTAGACATGCATTATAGGTAAAAGTTGAGATTCAGTTGATTAATTGGAGAGATGCAGTGATTAGGTGTGACTTGAATTTGATTATACACGTGACCAGGGAAAATAGCTAGAGAAATAGTCACCAATTTCTGTTAAATATGTAGTTACACGCATAGTCTAGAGGCAGTATCTACTGACTTATTTTGTATATATGCCACTTTACCAGTTTCTTACTCTTATTTTTTGTAGAAATAGCATGAACTGTAATAGAAAAAAATAGAAATAGACAAGTTCTGAAGAAATTACTGGGTAGGGACATTGAAAAAAGCCTGTTAAGTTTTCATATTACTTTCTGTTATATTTTTGCATAAAGTATTACTTCTTCATGTTCATATAACATTGAAAACATGCTGTCTAGAAATGTTTTGATTGAATCAAATTAACAGCATTATACTCAAGCCAATTTCCGCTCTTTCAGATGTAATTAATTTGAATTATCAAAAGTGTCTTTGTGTTCTCAGTAAAACTGCAGGAAAAAAGTCTTCATCATAAGAATGCTCTGGCTAATTCTTTATTTTTCTGGCAAATGGTGGGGTACAGAGACATGATCTAAAAATTACTTTGTTTGTTTTAATTAATTAATTAATTTATTTATGGCTGCGTTGGGTCTCCGTTTCTGTGTGAGGGCTTTCTCTAGTTGTGACAAGTGGGGGCCACTCTTCATCGCGGTGCGCGGGCCTCTCACTATCGCGGCCTCTCTTGTTGCGGAGCACAGTCTCCAGACGCGCAGGCTCAGCGGCCATGGCTCACGGGCCCAGTTGCTTCGCGGCATGTGGGATCCTCCCAGACCAGGGCTCGAACCCGTGTCCACTGCATTGGCAGGCAGACTCTCAACCACTGCGCCACCAGGGAAGCCCCTGTTTGGTTTTTTGATATCTTCTCTTTTTATATTTCAACATTAGGTGTCTGATGATCTGTAAATCCACTTTAATGAATTTCTGTTATGAAATCCTGGCTAAGGCTTTTGTGTGAAGTTCAGGTTCTCATTTCTGAACTCAAGTTCTACTCGTAACCATAAGTATCTTTTTTTCTCAGATGAAAATCATGCTAAACGTTGGGATTTCATTGGATTTTCTAATTGAGACACAAACTATGATGGCTAATAATTAAGAAGGATTACTGGCCAGTCATAAAAGCAAAATTTGCTGGCAATTGCTGGTAAACAGTTAACCTCTAATATTTGTCACAGTCAACAAATATCAGTAACTAAAGTCAAATGTTTTCTCGCCTTAATATTGGAGGACCCCATTAGATGGCTGGAGGACCCTGTGGAGATGCCGCAATGGCTTTGAGAAGTTGTCACTGACAGGAAAGTGTGAAACATGGGAAGCTGAGGATGATGAAGAACAGCTTTTTATTTAGGGTCGCTCCTGTTTATTTGCAACATAAATGATGCTAAGATGATTTTTGTGGAAGATAGCAAAGGAGGCATAATTTTCACATAACTTACTGCAGATTTCTTTCTTCCCCCTAACAGTAGATGTGTTTGAAGGGGAAAAACTCCTAATAGATTTGTTAATTGGGAATCATGTACCATAAATGTATGAGGTATATAAGAGGTACTCAGCATTTTCCTGTGATGGGTTCATAAGTTTTTAATAAAACATTATGAAGGAGTTTACCCATTCCCTTGTTTTTCTTAATTAAGATATGAAGGGAGCATTTTGAAAGGATTTATGTAAACTTGGAGTAGATTTTAGATGTTTGTTTTGTTAGAAAAATAGTTGAGGAGATGTTATAATGTGATCAAAATTTTTTCTTTATAGATTTTAATGTATTTTATGGAATTTTGTTTGTTTTTTAGTGTCAAGCCAGTCCCAGCTGAAGGAATCAAGTCGAATCCTTCAAAGCGGCATAGAGACCGACTTAATACGGAATTGGACCGTTTGGCCAGCCTGCTGCCTTTTCCACAAGATGTTGTTAATAAGCTGGACAAACTTTCAGTTCTTAGGCTCAGTGTCAGTTATCTAAGAGCCAAGAGCTTCTTTGATGGTAAGACAAAAGGGTTTAATTTTTCTGCAGTCGCTTACAAAATACTTACGTTGAATACGGCTGTTTCTGCTTCTGTGTTGAAAACTGCAAAAATTAGCCTTACGTGAAAAAGTTCTGTTTATTGCTGGATAGTAAAACTTAGGTAGCAAAGCCAAATTTTTAATATTTCTAAAATCAGTTTTCCGGATTGATTCATCACACGTATGCTGCCACTTAAATAATACGTGGCGTCATTCTTTGAAAATAGTAACACTCATATTAAGAAGGACACTTTCTGGTTCTTCTTTCTACTCAGCTTTTTAAGGTTTTTTTTTCTAATGGAAAGAGTAAAACACATTAACTACTATGATATATTTTTGCTGGATTTCCCTCAATATGTTTCACAGGTACATCATTTTATTTATCCTTTCAAAGTTATGTATACTTCTACTGCTTTACATTAACTGTATGTTTGCTCCAGAAAATGTAATTAAAAATTTTTTTTCCCATTGGAAAGAGCATTTTGTCACTGGAGTCAGTAGAGCTGGATTTCAGTCTCCATTGTGCCACTGACACCTATTTGACTTTAACATGTTAGCATCAGTTTACTCTGCTTTAAGCTAGGGATTTGAACTAGGTGATATTTGTTACACTTTAATTGCACAGTATATCATAGTCATAAATTATTTTAAATGGAAGTTTTTGTTTGAAAATAATGCTTCAGTGTGTCTTCTCATGTAAAATAATTCCTCGAGTTCTCTTTTTGTCTGTTTATATGTCAGAAATAGATTTTTTAGGAACTGTTCCGTCTTTTAAATATACCATGTCATTTTACCCATAGTAGTAAAGAATTAATGATAAAATCTTGGTGACATGTCATTGCTTTTACACTTTAACGTGCTCATAAATCACATAGGGACCCTGGTAAGATGAAGGTTCTTATTCAGTAGGTTTTGGTGTCGCCAGAGATTTTGCTCTTCTTACAAACTGTCAGATGGTGCTGATACTGCTGCCCTTGACATATTTACAGATACTTGAATTTGCGATTTGTGTGTAGAATATTGCAGAACAGTTACTTCCCTGTAGGTTTATGTTTAGATGGTTTGCTGTGTTTAGTCTGAGCATCTTTTTTATTTATTGGTTTGTTTGCATGCTGTATGTTCTTCATTTTGGATTAAAAACTATATAGTTTTTTTTTTTTAGGTAAGAAATTCTTTTATCATATTTTGAGTCAAAATATCCCTTAAAATATTTGCATTTTACAGTAAAAAGGATAGCAAAACACAAGATCATGTACGAGCTTAAGTATTCAAGTTTTTGAAGAGCCAAAAAGGAAAAGGAGAATAATGGACTACCACAAAGCTGTAGTACAGTAATAAACGCCTTCAGTGAGTGCAGACTAAAGCAATAAATGTACTCCTTGGGTTTCTGATTCTTGGTCAAAAACTGCTCGAGTAAATGATTAATATAATCCAATTACAAAGTTGCTTGGCTTTTTGTTGCTCCTACCCTGAGAAAACCATAATTCAAAAAGAGTCACGTACCACAATGTTCATTGCAGCTCTATTTACAATAGCCAGGACATGGAAGCAACCTAAGTGTCCATCAACAGATGAATGGATAAAGAAGATGTGGCACATATATACAATGGAATATTACTCAGCCATAAAAAGAAACGAAATTGAGTTATTTGTAGTGAGGTGGATGGACCTAGAGTCTGTCATACAGAGTGAAGTAAGTCAGAAAGAGAAAAACAAATACCGTATGCTAACACATATATATGGAATCTAAAAAAAAGAAAAAAAAAAGGTTCTGAAGAACCTAGGGGCAGGACAGGAATAAAGACGCAGACATAGAGAATGGACTTGAGGACACAGGGAGGGGAAGGGTAAGCTGGGACGAAGTGAGAGAGAGAGAGAGTGGCATGGACATATATACACTAACAAATGTAAAATAGATAGCTAGTGGGAAGCAGCTGCATAGCACAGGGAGATCAGCTAGGTGCTTTGTGACCACCTACAGGGGTGGGATAGGGAGGGTGGGAGGAAGATGCAAGAGGAAGGGGATATGGGGATATATGTATGTGTATAGCTGATTCAATTTGTTATAAAACAGAAACACACCGTTTTAAAGCAATTATACTCCAATAAAGATGTTTTAAAAAAATTGTATAGTTTAGCCACTGTGATCTGGGCAGTATACACTGATTTGAGGATAATAACTTCAGGGAAGATTATATATTTAAGTGTTCATAGTAGACACTTATGTTTTCTCTGATCTATATAAAAAGCCTTTGAATTTTCAATCTTCATGTATACCAGACCCTTCATTTTCTAGGTGAGTCACGTGATGTTCAGTGGTGTGTGTGTGTGTGTGTGTGTGTGTGTGTGTGTGTGTGTGTGTGTATCAGCTATATATTTATTTTGTCATCGAGCTAGAACTAGGTTTCCACATTCCCTCTGGTGTTTTTGTTGACCATATCTCAGTTACTTCTCTTTTCTGGGAACCATATATATATATAGCAAAATCCTGAGAACTTTTCCCTAGATCTGTGATTCTCAAAGTATAGACCCTAGACAGTCAGCAGTAGTGTCACCTGGGCATTTGTTAGAAATGCCAGATCTTGGGCCCTACCCTAGACCAATGGAATCATAAACTCTGGTGGTGTGGCAAGTTTGGGAGCCCCCATTGTAGATTGTAACCCCAAGGTCAATCCCAGCTTCTTGGGATGCAGTCCTAATCTTCAGCATTTATTCACATGCTGTGCTGTTTGACCTTATGATGGAGGGTTCTGTGACATGTAAGATGTGGTCTCTGTCCTTAGAGGGTTTATAGTCGAAAAGCCAGGGAGGCACTATTCCTTGACTCTGGTCAAGATGTATTGACATGATCATTTTGCCTTTTCGTTTCCTGCTCCTCTATAATGGGAAATCAAATTATATGTTAAAAAGAGAAAAAAAATGTATGGGCTGTCCCCTGTTTAGAAGCAGTGGAGTAGAATTGAAGCTGCTTGGAGAATAGCTAGTGTGCCATTTCAATATTAACATACTTACTGCTTTCTAGGCTGTCTCTATGTGTGTGAGTATGTGTATATGCTTACACACATGCATACACATACATATACATTAATATATGTATATTTAATGTAAAAAGCAGTCTCCCTCTCCCTCTTTCTCTCTCTCTCTCTCTCTCTCTCTCTCTCTCTATATATATATATATATATATATATATATATATATATATTTCATGATTAGATGTGTATCCTGTTCAATACCTCAAGTAAAAGCAATTCCCAAATCTACCTTATAAAGAATGTCATAGTGTAGCGGGGCTCATTGTGGAATTCTCACTTGTTAAAAAGTATTTTCTTGGCTTTTCATTAATAAGTTTATTTTTTATTCTGGCTCAGTGTATTCGACAATAAGATCTTATTACCCTATTTGTGTCATTCCTTCATCAATTATCTTTTTTTTTTAGCATCTTTATTGGAGTATAATTGCTTTACAATGTTGTGTTACTGCTGTATAACAAAGTGAACCAGCTGTATGTATACGTATATCCCCATATCCCCTCCCTCTTGTGTCTCCCTCCCACCCTCCCTATCCCACCCCTCTAGGGGGACACAAAGCACCGAGTTGATCTCCCTGTGCCATGCAGCTGCTTCCCACTAGCTATCTGTTTTACATTTGGTAGTGTATATATGTCCATGCCACACTCTCACTTCATCCCAGCTTACCCTTCCCCCTCCGTGTCCTCACAGCTGCTTCCCACTAGCTATCTGTTTTACATTTGGTAGTGTATATATGTCCATGCCACACTCTCACTTCATCCCAGCTTACCCTTCCCCCTCCCCGTGTCCTCAAGTCCATTCTCTACATCTGCATTTTTATTCCTGTCCTGCCCCTAGGTTCTTCAGAACCATTTTTTTTTTTCTTTTTTTTTAGATTTCATATATACGTGTTAGCATACGGTATTTGTTTTTCTCTTTCTGACTTACTTCACTCTGTATGACAGACTCTGGGTCCATCCACCTCACTATAAATAACTCAATTTCATTTCTTCTTATGGCTGAGTAATATTCCATTGTGTATATGTGCCACATCTTCTTTATCCATTCATATGTTGATGGACACTAAGGTTGCTTCCATGTCCTGGCCATTGTAAATAGAGCTGCAATGAACATTGTGGTACGTGACTCTTTTCGAATTACGGTTTTCTCAGGGCATATGCCCAGTAGTGGGATTGCTGGGTGGTATTATCTTTAATTTTAGGTCCTTTGAATTACTGGGTTTTATACTTTAGTATGCATCAGCATAACCTCAAAAGCCTGTTAAAATGCACATTCTAGGACATGCTCTTTTTATGCTGATTCTTTGTAGGTTTATGTAGAACCCAGGAATCTGTATTTTTATAAGCATTCTAGATAGGTCTGAGACAGTGATTTAACCTGGTTTTGATTATGTCCTGAATTATTTAAAAAAATTTTTTTCTTTGCCTTTAGAAAGACAAATCCAAATGTACAAAGTTTTAGAAAGACTATGTGTGATTTCAGGGTAGTGTGTATTCTAAGCAGTTTTGTAGGGTTGTTCAGTACAGGAACAGAGTTTGATGGAAGATGAGGGAAATAATGTGTGAAAAATCCCAAAGTCTTCCCCGGACCACCAGTTATCTAGGAAGGCATTGCAATATTTTGAAAAAACACAGAGAATAAAATTTGCACGTAATTCTTCGGACCTGAACAAGTACTAAATGCAAATGAGGAGACTTGGAGCAGGCAGACAGTGATGACGATTTTTGTGTGTGGTTAAAACCACTCTCCCACTATTAGGGAAAG